AAATCGTCCAATTTACATCATTTGTAAATTTACTACAAAATTTCATAGTAATTTTACAAATTATGAAAATTGGTAGTTTTTGTAAATCTACTATGAATCTCCGTATAACAATAGCATAGAAAATTCATTTTGTCTGATTTCGGGATCTTTTTTTTAATTCACCTACAGTTAGTTGTTCCATTGGACCAATTTTTCCTACAACCTTTAATGATAGAACGCAGTACACATAGTTTTTCAACTTGTTTGTGTGTAAACAAACAAATGTCAATTGTTAATCTCATGTGTCAGATAAGCGTTCAATTTACAAACCGTTCAAAAAAAACCAACGTTCACAGAAAATTGATAGTTTTTCATTGCAATATAAATTTAATAAATTAAAATAAAATTAATGCCCCTAAATTTTCTAAAAACAATTTATTAATTTTTAAACCATTTTTTCATCGTAAATTTTGCAATTATTAATGTAAAAATATAATTATTTATTAAATGAAGTCATCAAGTTTGACATCACAAAAAAGTTTATAAACATAAGTATTGCGCCATCTATCGAAATATGAGAATTGTAAATTTCGATAGTGAAAGTCGCTATGTATGAAGTCAAAAAATAACATTATTTGTTTTTTTCGATGTTTTTTTCTGTTATTTTATTATTATTATTATTATTATTCGGAATTATGCTACCAAAAAATTGTGAAAAAGTTGTATTTAAACTGATATATTCATCATTTGTAAATTTACCCTGACTTTTCGTAGTATTTTTACAAAATGATATTGTGACTTTCATTTTGACACATTTTGTAAATTTACTACGAAAATTCAGTGTAAATTTACAAATGACTTACAACACAGTGTTCGTCGGAACATAGCGCCATCTATTGAAATAATCTTAATCTACTTAGACGAACTTTTTTGTGTGTCTATAAATATAGAATGTCACATTGTAGAATGACTCTTCGGTGGAAAATTCGAAATGAAAAGTCACACATATCGAGCATCTTTGAGTGCTTTTGCTTATTTGGTAGAGATCTGTGACTATTGAAAACGAAAAGAGAAAAAAAAAGAAGTTTTCAATGAACATACAATCAACCTGAGTTTTGGCGGACCGGACTTCGAGGATGTGAATTGAACGGAAGATGCACGGCGTAACTTGGCTTTTCGGATTTCCCATCGAATCGTTGATACTTTTTTTGTCCAAATATTTTCTTCTTGATTTTTACGAAATAAAAGTTGAGAAAAAACATAGAAATTTAAACTGCGTAGCCAAATCCAGTGTTTGTTATGTGGCCGTTATTCAGATGCGTTCCATTTACATTCAGCAAGCTGTTAATTGCATTTGAACCGATGTTGCAGTTGATGTTCGTGTTGGTATTGTTGTTGCTGTTGCTTGTGTTGATGTTGTTGTTGAGGTTGTTGCCGCCGCCGTTTGACATCGTTGGATTCATGCCGATACTGAGTTGTCGTGCAATCGCAGCAACGGATGCCACATTTTGACTGTTGTTGTTGCTATTGTTATTGTTGCTACCATTTTGAGAGTTTGTTGGTCAGTGTTGTGCGGCAAATTTCATTCGCTTTTGTTTTTGACGTTGATTACAAAACCAAACGCGTACCACATTCTTTTTAAGATCCAACTTTTCGGCGATTGCAGCAATTTTTTCACCAGACGGTCGAGGTTGGACGGCAAAGTAGGCTTCGAGAGAGCGCTTCTCTGGTGCAGCAATCGACGTTCTGCGTCTTTGGAAAAGGCTTCGATATAGATTACAACGTGAAGTTGTGAATTTCAATTAAAAAGGATATTTTTGAAACTTAATCATAATAAACACAACAAACCAAAGAAAAAAACCAAAGACAAACACTGTGATTGAATCTAAAACTTATTTATTGGACCTACTGATGAGTGGTGATTAAAAATAATATGGAGGGAGTCACAAATCCAATGATGATCACCGTTCTTCAAAGTTCTTCCAAGTTCTTCAAAGTAAGATTTTGCTTTCGAGATGATCGACTCGGTATTTTCCTTATTATGAAAAGATACTTTCGTGAATTTTGAGATTTCATGACAATTGGTATTAATTCGCCGATAAAATAAACTTTAGAAATGTGTAATCGGTTAAAAAAGAGTCAACTTTGTAAAACGCTCAAATCACCATTGGTTTTTGGACATCCCATATTATCTTATGGTTAAATGACCACTCGCTAGTGAGTCCGATTTTATGAGTGGCACAGTGCAATAAAACAACACAAAATAAAATTGTCGAATATTCTTCGTAAAAGTCTTCGATATAGATTATAACAAGTTTTGAATTTTTTGAAAGAATTTTTATGAAACCTAGTCGTAACAAACACAACAAACCAAAAATATCGATAATAAAAGATTGTGAGTACAAGCTGATCTCTGCACTTTTTTTGTTGAAAATAAAAGTTTATTTTAAAGAAACCGTACAATATTTTTTATTCAAAGCATACTTGGGCACAGGGGGCCTGCAATCCCAGATAACTCTCCCCCTCAAATCGCCTGAGCAAAACCCCCTAGATGGTAGCCGAGAAATCTTTCGATTTGCTAGGGATATTTCACACGAAAAAGAAAACCTTTTTTTTTGCTTTTCTATTTTGAAATGATCAGAAAGTTCTTTAACCCTTAACCGGGCAAGTCAAAATCCTAACGTTATTATAATTTCAATGATGATTTCAATACGACGAAAATTATTGTTTTAACATAAAAGATATTGAATTAAATATGTTTTTTGTAAAATATAACTGAAAAAATGAAAAAATAATCAATATTTATTCCGAATAGGATGAATTTAAGTTTCAGTTCAGTAGTTGTTTAGTAGAAATTTTGCACTTCATTTAAAAAATTTGATGACATTTTGTATGGAAAATGTACGTTCGGTAGTTGTTCAAACCTCAATACAGCGCTACTTAGGGAACCAAATTCAAAACAACTTTTATCGACGGTTAGTAGAAGGATGAAAGAATATATAACAAAAGAATTTGTTTGATTAAAATAATATTTTATGCGATTTTATGTATCTTTTATTAAAAAAATGCGCTACCGGGCCTCAGAAGCCCGACCTGCCCAGGTAAGGGTTAAATTTGCTAGGGTTTTTCGCGAATAATACTTTCGATTTGCTATGGATTTTCGGCAAAAAAGTGATCTCAGAAAAAAAAAAAACGAAAAAATCCCGTTTTGCTGACCAATGGTGAGAGAAAAATTCTTTCGACTTGCTAGGGTTTTTGATTGGATGATTCTTTGACTTTTTCGAATTTTTAGCATTGATTATCAAAAACGGCATATGGCAGCTATTGAAATGCGTAACTTTCAAGGTCCCATAATGATCAGAAGCATTTCTGCTTTGATTGAAGTGAAATTAATAAAACCCATTTAAATTATGTGTTGTTTACACTTCGACCAAAAACACATGCTGATTCTTATAGGATTTAGACAGTACTTTGACATAGTTAAATAATTTGGAAATTTCAAATGGAAATAGTACTATAGCCGTCTTAAATAAAAGTGCAGAAATGAACTTGTACTTTCGTGCATTTTTTCTCATTTCTATGTTCCGAAATGGATTTGTGTCATATATTGCGAGAAAATCGATTTTTTCTTCAAACTCAGGTGTATTTTGCAGCTTGTAGATAGCACTCAAAAATGTAAAGAAAAAACACACGACACTGTCAACAACTGAAGATAACACAAATCAATTGATAATTGTAAACGAAAGATCGACTAAAAAAATCAAAAGAAAAAAAACGTGAAATTAATAATCGTGATGTGAATTAATTAAAATGAAAAGGTACAAAAGAAAAATATAGAAATCGAATAAAATGGCACACAATTTAATCAAAACGAATTTTACCTTTTCTTTTCTCCAGCAGGTAAGACACTTGGTGCATCCGGATCACGTCGCTTATTTTTCGCTTGTGCTTCGGCCTCCTCAAGCCACGCTTGCAGTATCGGTTTCAGTGCAATCATATTGTTATGGGATAATGTTAAACTTTCGAACCTACAAATGGTACTTTGCGATAAAGCTCCGACACCCGGGAGTTTCAAATTGGCTAATGCTTTTCCTACGTCGGCTTGTGTGACACCTGCTTTCGAACCAAGATGAGTTTAGGGAGTTGTTCGATTGAAGAAATAGATGATAAGTCACGAGTGTTTTTGGTTTTGTTTTCATTTGAATTAATTTTTTGTTTAAATACACGCAGGAACACACACACAAGATTTGAGGTGCAAACACGTAATGGAAAAAAATTGGGAGAATAAAGACAAACAGAGTAACACAAAACTCACAAACATTGCTTTCAAATTACAGATACAAATATGTACGGCGCGATAAATTGCACCTTTCAGATCAATTTCAAAAAAGGTGTAATTTCCCGCTTTAACGAGGTAAAAAGACATGGCAATCCAGAATATTATACAGAAATAATTACCTAATTTGATTCGCCTTTGTTTGAAACGTTCGGCAAATGCCTCTAATTCCCTAGGATCGGTGTCGGTGTCTGGATGTAGGCCGGCTGCTGCGACAGCGGCAGCCATTGCGGGATGTGAGCTCGGATGTCCATGATGACCTAAGTGCAATTTTTTACTTATTAATAATTGTGTCATTCCAAAACTTGGCCATTTGTGAAGTTTCAGTGAAATTTCATAAATTTTGGTTTACAATCAATATACGATTGTTTTTATTTGTTACAAACGAAATCGGATTGTTTCTTGTAGAAGTGCATCGAAAAAAGTGTTTACCATAATGATTCATACCGGGCGCGTGGCCACCCAACGGACCACCGTGATGATGGCTCATCATGTGATTCATACCATGATACGATCCGTGCAATTGATGGTGCGGCGATGTGATTGACGGTGTTTCGGACATTGGTGTAAGTGTTGTCATTGAACTGGCCGGATCGAGCATTTCAAGACCGTCCATTGTGTGATGCATCTGTGCCAAAAGACAAAGATAAAAACATTCAACAAAAAAATAAGATCATAAAAAAGTTTCTCATAAAAAAATGGTATATCTAAGCTGAGATTTGCACTGCGGGAGCCGTGAAATTGGCGAGACGAAATATTTCATGGACATTTGACGAACCAAATTTAATTAACTGTGCAAACATTGCGCGATTGCGTACCGCATGTGTCAATGTGAATCAACTTTTTTTTTCATTAGCCAAGTCAATTCCCTAAAAAGTCTGTTTCTTTTTGCGGACTCTTTTTTTCCACATCGTGCACGCTTTAAAATGGGCGAAAATTTTCATATTATTATTGAGCAATAAAAATGAAAACATTTGTTCGTGGTCGATTAAATAACCGATGGCTATGTGCAATGTACACACTAATACACTGGCACGCACACCGCCTCTATCTGAGACAATCGCTTTGAATTTTTCCCGGCATTTGATGGTTAATGCTGGCACCAAAGTAGTCGAATTATCAACAAATGGCAGGATTAAATTGTAGCTAATGTACTTGCTCTTAGACTTGATTCAATGGGCATGAGTGCTGCTGCTGCTGCTGTGTGCATGTGTTTTTTTATGATTATTAAACCGTCACGACAACACGAGGGAAAGATAAAATAGCACAAAATCTGAGAATAATTATGTTTGAATTGCAATACAACGAACAAAAGAGACTTTTGAACAAAAGTGAATGTGTGCTTAGCTGCTGCCTGCTACTGCTACGCCACTGTTTCTTCGATTGAATCTTTTTTTGCTTTTCACGGCCGATTAAAAGAAGGAAAATCGCGAGCGGCCTTCGAATAAGATTCGCTAAATACACGTTCTCAGTATAATAATAGGGCAGTCAGTTGGAAACACCGACATTTTACCACCAAAAATCGCTCGTTTGTTTGCACAACCTTTTCTAAGCGGTTGTATTTTTGCTCGCAGCCATATAAAGTATGGTACAATGCTATGTTCCTATTCGGGACGCAAACGAGAGATTTTCGTTTCTCTTTGAAAACATTTTCGTGAGAGGGAAATTTTAAGGCGAAAAAATTGTAAAAATTTAAGAAGAAAAAATTAGCTTCTGAGTCAAAAATTCAATGTTTGAGAATTTAGGACTTATAAAACCAACGAATTTTTCGTAAGGTCTGAGAATTTTCGCTGAAGAAAAAAATATGGAAAAATACACAGCGTAGCAGAAATATGTTACAGTTCTAATGTGGATAAACACAATTATTTACAACTTATTCTGGCAGGTTGGGATTAACAACAAAAATTGAAAATCATACAAAAATACACACACCGGCAGCAATAAAAAAAGACGGGGCTTTAATTTAATTAAAGTGTGTAAATAATAACAGCAAGCGAATAAAAAAAAAAAAACACACGAAGAAGCAACATTTCATTTGGTCGTAGGTAGTAAATATACGACGAGCAAAGTGAGTTTGGCAGTTAGCTATACCGTACGAGGGGACGATTTTTTTTTCTCTCAAAAATGGGGACGCGCTCCTAGTAAGTATGTAGTATGCAACATACAGCAAATAAACAAACTAGTAAACTTATGTTCGTAATTTGCCGGAACGAATTGATTTTAGAGTACGCAACAGCACACACACACAAAGTGCACTTGATATAAACATACAAATTATAGCTGAGCAAATATTTTTGTTGTTCGTTAATGATGTGATGCGTGCTCAGGCCCACCGTACAACGTTGTTGTAATTTAAGGGTTAAAGGTTATTTTTATTCTGCTATTACTATTGTTTGACTGTGAATCGCATCGAATTTATCGAAATACCATCAATAAAAATGCAATTATGTAATTTTTTTTGGTTCGTTTTCTTCTCGTCATTGCCATATTCTATAATAGTTCTGAATTCAACGCGCAATATGCCTTAATAATTATGTGTGTGTGGGAAAGAAAATAGCGAAATATTGAAAAAAAAATCGAACTACAAATAGCGCCATAATGATAACTTATGCAATTTGTCTTATGCGCCAATTCCCGTGGAATATATGTGAATAAATGCCTTATGTCACCGAGAAAAGTTTCTAAATTGAATATGCATTGATGATTGATTGAAGCCTTTTGCGTGAACCACAACAGCTGAGTCATTCTTCTTGTGCATTTCGAACTCTTTCTCTTTCTTATGAACAACCTGTTTCATTTTCATTCGTTCGAACTTTTTGAACTTTATCGAAACTGATTTTCTTTGCCTTTTTTTGAAATTCGTTCGCAACACTTTGGGAACCGAAAACAAATGTTCATGCATGAAAACGTACGTAAAGAAATTATACAGTGTAGATTGAATTATTTTAAAAGTTAGTCGTTGATTGCTATTAATTCAGAATTGGATGCGGTAAACCGCATTTCAAAACAGCCCATTTCTAGCCTAGTTTCCAGTTAAATTTTTCCGTGCAATTGAATAAATCAAGAAAAAATGGTGTTTCATTTTGAATGGAACCATGGGCGTCCGCAACGGGGTGCAGGTCGATTAAAAAAAATTAATAAAAAATAAACAATACATTTTACTTCCAGCCAGGGACTATTTTAAGCTGATCCAGTTGTTAAATTTTTATAAAATTAATGAAATCTTTGAAAAATCGAGGACAATTTCGATTTAATAGAAAATGTCGACTCAATGGTAAAATATGTATATAATTTTTCAAAACTTAAAAAAATTCTGCTTGCTTCGCCGCACTTTTTTTACTTCCCTGCATGTATTGCATCATACATTTTTGATCTACAAAAGCATGACGTTTTTAATAATGAGACATTACAATCAGCTTTTATTCCAGCCTTTCATTTATTTATGGAAAATATTACAGCCTTTGATCGAATTGAAATTATCTAAACAAAAAAGGCAAGACTATCAAAATTAAAATAAAAATTAAAACGCCTGCAGCGATCATCTATGGAAGAAAATGGATTTTTATCGAAAAATGTTTCAAATAATTTTTTAGCACGTTTAACTAACATTATATGCATTTTAAGTTTAAGTACGATGAGCGTAGATCGAGAGATGGTAAACAAAAACAAACAGGAAGTGCAAGAAGAAGTGTTAAACAGATTTGCTTCTGATTCAAGACGATTAGTTTTTTTCGAAAAAATTAAAATGTCCACGATTTTTATTGCTCTCGCACCTCCCTGATCAAATTCCTGCGGACGCCCCTGAATGGAACCACAGTAAATTGGAAATTGACTTCGAACGAAGAGACTATTTATGTCGATTTCACATTGATTTTTTTTCGATTAACATTTATGTACACCACTTCGAACAGGGAATGCAAAATATCAATTCAAAAAAAAAATACTAGTAATAAGCGGATAAGTGCTTCCTAGGTACCCACAAATTTATTTCCATTAAATAAACGGCAATTAGATGTGAAATATCATTTTTGCATAAATGAAAACCCATCAGAAGTTCATTTAAAAAAAAACTCAAACCAACCGATATCGTTTGTCAAAATTTTTGTTCAACTTTCAATTTAAATTCACCAAATTGATATGTATTTTATAAATCCGGTGATCCGTGTATGTTTTTGTCCGCAAGTAATTATATCTATTTTATAGTTATCATTTTAAAATGTTACATGTTTGGCCACATTAATCGACGGTTTGGTCGGTGTATGTGTGTATGTGTTTTTATTTTCGGTTGACATCAAGTGAATACCAAACATATGACAATACAACCAATCAGCCACTTTATGCAATCATTTCGATAGCATTACATGTGAATAAAATCATAATAATAATAATAAATCATGAAAAAATACAAATCCCCTGCGGTATCGATGACTTTGAAATGCATATGGATTTCCTTGTCAATTCGACATTATTTTTACTATCTTTTTTTTTTCTTTCAAAAACACCAAAAATTGTTCATGTTATGCGTGTGTGTAAATCGTTCGTTGTGGTAAATGCGGTACTTAGTAACCCATTGCGTTGCAATGTGTGTATTTCTTATGCTCATGTTGTTCTTTTTCTCCTCTGAAATATCACATGTGTTCCATTATGTGGAATATAATGCAGACAGAGAGGGTGTCGCACGCGGTGTGCGTTTTATTTTATCATGTAATATTATAATACACTTACATCCCTCGTTCATTGTTACACGCTCAACGCCCTCAAAATTATCATTGCAATACAATAACAATGAAATATTCTTTTATGGCAAAACAAGCCAAACTCAATAGCCAAAAAATCATGTGATTTTTATAACAATAAATTTTATTGTCGAATTTAAGTATGTACACATTGTTATGTTTTTCGATTGTTTTCTCATTCAACTCCACAGATTCTTCTCGGCAATCTTTTTCTACGTTTATTTCCAATTTATTTGATTAAACACACGAAAATTGGCAATATTTTTTTATATAAGCGTGACTTTTTTTCATAGAAGAAGAGATTGAAGAAAGGGGATCTTATTTGAAGTGCTAAAAGACTGATCTTCAGCAGAAAATGAGCAAATATCATATATTAAATTCAAATTGTAAGCAAAAGAAGCAAGTTAAATTCTGGCCAAAGATCATTCACGGTCAACTAAATCGACGGTACACCGAATTAAGCAGATGTTTCAAATAGATTATCTAGTTAGTTCGGCTCTATTAAGTATGGGGTTAAAGAAAAATACCATGTAATAAAGAACAAATGGCCATATCATTTTGACTGTTGATTATGTACACAACCGACTTGTTTTCCATTTGCCATTTTTATGTGCGTTAAATTTATCTATTTAATCCGTTATTGATGCCGGAAAAATCATAACATATTTTCCCTGGCGTATTCTTCATCTCTCTCTTCAACTCTCTGTTATCGAATTATTAAATATTTACAATCATCTCTCCTTATGTCTGGAGTGCGCAAGGGGAGTTTGGTTTAGTTTTTATTATATTATGTGTCTCATTGGATTTTCGGTTTGGTTTCTATTTCCAAATAGCAATGCAGTTTCTCATTTTCTTCGACAAATGAAAAGTCCTTACTTTTTCTTATTTCCAGCAAACCTTTACTATTTTGTTTAAAAAAATATTTGGTTTTATTCTAGGTCTCTTTTTGTTCAACTTGAATTCAAAACACTATTGAATTTTTATTTTCACATTTCGGTTACAAAAATGCCATTTTTAATGTATTGAAAAAAATTTCAATTTACATTATGATCGAAGCGTATTGCTAATGTATTCGAGGATTATATTGCCTTTGCTTCGTTTTAATGGCATGAAAAGTACAATTTCATTTTACTTCATAGAGCTGTACAGAATATGCAGGGCAAATGAAACGATTACATCATACGCCGCATTGCTGAAAGCAACGCAAAAATTGTTTCGCGCGCTTTTTCGTTGTGCGCTTAACATTGCATTAGACAAGTGTTTCCTCCTTTTGAGGTTGGCCCCGTGTGCGATATACAGCCCAAAAACGAACTCAACATTTATATTCTCAAAACGCGCTATATTATCATTCCTTTAAAATTACTTGCGCACACTGCATGTACCGAACAGCTGAGATCCGGAATTAGAGATTATTATTGTAAAGAGATAATGTTCCTGTATTATGTACTTACGTTGTTTTTTTCGCCACTGATTAACATGCATTAGCATGTACTTATCGTTCCATAACGGTAAAACTATAATATCGGCAATTATGGTAAATGGCAACATTCATCAACTGATGCCAATTTGCAATGGCGCGTTGTTTGTGTGTGTGTGCCACAAAGAAACTTGAAGAAATGCAAAGACTGCCATGTTCATTAATTAATTACTCAAAGCAAATGTGTCACATTAAAAACCAGTTACATTTTTTTTTTCAACGCCATTTTTAAAGAGATTTTTTTGTTTGAAACTCGTTACAAATACAATTTTATTGAAAATTACATACAATTTTCGGTTGCATCGGGAAGAAAATGGAAAAATAATTTCTAGTAACAAAGTAGTTGTTTCGCTAAACGAATGGGCAAAATGTATGAATACTTTGTGCACAGTAAAGACATTCTCTTTGGTTCTATTTTGAAGCGTTTGTGACCATCTTCACATTCCGTGTATGCTGTCGGTATAATTTTCGATCGACGATGGTTGAATGAATCCCTTTGTAATTTTTACTTTATGTTGTTTGGCACAATTCTACTGGGATACATTTAGCTTAGTTAATACAATCTAACCATCCCCTGTGAGCTTTTGTTGTGTCCACCTTCTATGTATGTGTATAATGTAATTTGCGTCTTCTTTCAATTTAGTGACTCTCTGTGTGCCATTTTTGTTGTTCCTTCATTTTTATCGTATGCTCAAAAACGGTTCGATATTCACTTTGTGTGTGTTTTGTATGCAGTTTTGTGTAATTGTACTATTGCGAATCATAGTGATGCGCTAGCATTTCGAATGAAATCGATTGCATCGATAGACAAGGGAATCAACCACTATGAATTTTTTGTTTGTTTTACATGTAGTTTACATTGGTAGAAGACTCATGACATTTTGGGATGTATAACATGTTTTCAAGCTTCGAAATTTCAAAGGAACTTCATTTATTGTCATCAAACGAATGAATTTTAAAGTGAATTTACGATTTTTAATTATGGCTTTACGATTGATGTTATTTTCTTCATTCCAAATCAAATAGAAATTTCAATGGGCTTTCATTGTATTTTGCTAAAAATAATAAATGGCCGTTTCGGCATTTAGTTGAAAGGTCTCCATATTTTTTTTTTCAATTCCGTTTGTCCATTTTGCCTAAACTCAAGATTATTTATTGGGCCATCAATAAAGTGCACCCAACTCACTTTCAATTTTCTCTTATTCCCAATTCTTTTTTTTTCGTTCGTTGATTGCTTTACGTTGAAACGGTGAAACAAAAAACTTTGTTCGAGGTCGCATTCAACAATAACAACGACACAGCCTGCTACGCAGGTGTGTGTGTGTTGATTTGCTTGTGTTGTTATATAACAGCAGCGCTAATGTTTGGACTGCCACTTTGATGAAAAAATACGATGGTACACAGTACGATGTGAATCAATATTTATTGCTCGACACTTCGATATATGTATTCGACATGGTGTACACCAAAATAAATGGCACCGTAGCCCGATTTTTCTTTTTCTTCTTTCACCGAGGAAAAATGGTACTTTTAGTCAGGTGCGTTCATTAGCACAACCAAAAATTGGGTGATTTATTTAACTTAGAAAAGTCTCGAAACATGCAACCGTAACGCACTAACGTAGAATTCTTGCACATATTTAACGATAAATGAAAGAAAATTCGTCCGAAGTTGGCTTGAATTATCGCAGTTCATTTATTTCGATTCATTTCAATGTTGATCGTTTCTTTTTAAATTGTCATCGAATATCTATGGAATTTACATTTTTCCAAATGAAATTTTGCTCACTTGGAAAATGGGTTGCAATTTAATTTTTATATTTTGGCTGTTTGAAGGTGCCATGATGAATATTTGTCTTTGATATTTAATGTATATTAAATTCGAAGGGTTGCATATATGCTAGAGCCAATTTTGGCCGATGAAAATTATGTGCCGTAGATTTAACATGAAACGAAATGTGTCAAAGAGCTATCACTCTGGGTATAAATTATAATTTGCAGGCTAATTTGCATACGCACGCACTTGCCCATCAAAGAGATTTGTGAAACAACCCTCATTACCAATTTGAATGAGATAACCGGTGGATAATATTATAATTTTGACTAAAAACTGCGTCTCAACTTTCATTTTACAGCAATTGAACTGTCCTCATAACATCAAATTAAATCCATTCCAATTTTTTTAATGCAACGAACAAAACTGATCTCATTCAAAAAGCAGTGTAGAAACATTCATTCTTGCATGAATGGCAATTGTTGTGTGTGCGCGACCGAAATTCGTATCAATTTACAATGACACCGGAGAGAGAGAGAGAGTGAGAGAGTGGTGAATCGAGCATGAATGTGCGGAATGTGATGTTAACCGAATTATTCAATTAGATTGAATCGTCATTTTTCAAACATTGCTCAAAACATGCGACATTCGGCATTGGGCTCATGTGAGAAAAGTCGTGTGCATGTGAAAACAGCGAGCACACCGTATAGTGACGTAGCACTTTTCTCATCCATTCAGTAAATTTAAGCGTCAACCCTTATGGCTGCGAGTAGTGAAGCAATCAAATTAAGTGTCGCGTGGCATTTTTGATGTAGTCAATTGAGCGCGCCATTTGAAACCATAGATTTTTGTTTTATGTTTACGGTACTTACACGAGAACACATTCAACTTCACAAAATTTAAATTTTCCTACCAATTTAACTTGCATGCTTAAAAGTCTTTCTTTTGTTTATTGTTTTGAAACTATTTTCGAGAACAAATTGGCATTTTTTTAAAAAAAGCCAAAAAAAAACGAAACTGTTTCATTTGAAAGGGAGACAATGTTTTTATTGCATGTAATCCATTTGATATATTCTTTGACAAGTACTTTTCGGTTATTTATACGTAGAATTCTAACACATATACTCTCTCTCTATCACATACACACACAAAATCGATTGATTTGCAATCAATTTTATCCGATATCCTTGGCTGAAATCAACCGAAAATTGATTCTATTTTGAGTGTTGTCTAACTTTTAATGGATTACAACAATTATGCAATGATTCGGGGTCGCACTCGTCATCGATTGACGAGGTCTAAACGGGGCATTCGTTTTGAACGAAAAGTTTTCCTTGAGTGGTTGGCCGCGTGCAATGGTACTGCACGTGCCAATAACAAGATCGTGATAGAGATAACACAGTGGTACTTCCCGCTGTTTTTCGACAACAGTCCAAATAAAAACGTGTAAATTTTTATTGTTTTATTTGCCTTGTTCATGGCACGTGCACAACCATGAGAACTTAATCACAAAAATTATCACGATGAACAAATGACTATTGATTTTGTGCCCGTCGCACTTTTATCTCACTTGACAAGTGCTGGAATGTTTGTAAAGTGTGATTCAAAGTTGATTGAGCGAGAGAATTTTTTGAGGAAGTCTCAAATTTCAAGGAAGGAATTGTGATAGCAGGACGGAATGTATCCAAAATCGAATTATTGACAGAAAGAAAAGTTTGTTAAAAGAGGAAAAATTCAAAGTTTTTTTTTACCTGTAACGGTCGTTGTGGTGGTCCGCCCATGCTGTGATGATACATGACATCGTGCTTTAATTGTGATGACATTTGCGCATGGCTACTCTGATGTTTACCTATATCTGCAAGTGCTTCGGCTCTGCTTAAAATTCCATCATTCAATCCCGAGAAAATGTCGCCCTGCAAGAAAACACAAAATACCAACAAATCAGTGAATGTATCGCTGAATAATTCAAAGAACCGGGGTTTTATTGTTTAAATCGCAATCGAAAGAATTAAATGGTGAATATTTGATGTGCAACGACCAGTTGCTTGCCAAATATATGAATACACTCACATACACTCAAATCAATGGATATATATCGTCAACTATTTCATTATATTATACACATAGCCGGAATGAGGAATGTATGTGCTCGTTTCGGGGTGGTACATATATCAAATAAAAAGTAAGCAAAAATGCCAAATCATAAATTCATTGTGCATAAATTATGACTCACGTACGGGGTGCATAGGAGTCGATTATACACCAAATTAATCTTCCTTTCGACTCAAAGCGAGAGAGCCAAACATTCCGAACTTGTACACAAATTTCACATACACATAAAAACGCACATGACAAATCGAAAGCGATGCGGTTTTTCTGTGTAATCTGAAATATTTATGAGATGTCTGGCCAATTTTTTTCATTCAACATCCATTGCATTTTAGAGAGATAAACAGAGACTTGGCGAGAAAAGGATGAAAAAAATATATATATTCAAAAAATATGTACTGGTTTTTTGTTCCGGAATTTAAACGAACATACGAGAAGTGAGATTGATTCGCTCTCATTTTGTCACCAGCACACTCGATTTTATACATAATTTTGAACACATTGTAACCGTTTTTTGCTGAATGTGCGCTCACTTCGGGTGTTTGCGTCTGTTTCTAATTCATTCACTCAATTGTTCAATTGTTCGGTCGCCGTGTCTCACAGCCATCGGATCCTTTTGAAAATAAATGGTTTATGTGTGTGTCGGTGTTCATACATGGCAGCTTGCATTTCGCATGACGCGCGCACGTCATTGAATGGAACCAGAATCCGAAAATTTTAAAAATTTAGATTATCATTTATTATTTATCGAGTGCTGAGAATTTTATTTTGTCAGAAGTTTATGTGCTTTTGCTTCTCGCTCACGTGCTTTTTCACTCTTGTGCACACTCTTTAGGCAGTGTTCGCTTCGTTGTTTATAGGAAATTTCGTTTGTGTTCAGATTTTACTTGTCATGGCACTCGCATATTTAGTCTATGCCAATGTGCAGCAGCAGCAGCAGTAGCTCTCTTGCAGATGAGCTCTTCATTCTATCGACACTGCAGCGACAAAACGCAAAGCGCTTAAAATACGTGAGTATTTTCGTATATGGGTCAAGGTAGAAAGTTTTCAAGCTTTGTGCACACACAAAACATACCCTCTCTCTCTTTCTCCGGCTGTGCTGTGTATGTGCCCGTATGCGCGATAGCACATAAATATGTGTGCAATCATTAATTTTTCATCCATTTACATGATCATCAATTTTTAAGAGGCCGGCTTTTTTTCACTCTGTGTATACTTGGTTGTGTTCTATTTCGGTCGTTGATATTGAGCGGCACATTTTTTTATTTTTGTTTTTGACATCCATATTAATTTTCATATTACACTTCGACTTTCTCTCTAATTTTTTGTATGAATCGGCAAAAACTTGTTAAAATTGATGTTGATGGAGTTCAGAATAAAGTTTTCTTTTTTGTATACACAAAGAGATAGCCATGAATGGAGAGATAGTCAACCCTTAAATACGGGAATATATAAAAAAAGAACCACAATTACCGCGTGGCCTTTTTGTGTTGAAAATGTTCAAAACTATTATTAAAATAAAAAGTTTCCCTCGGTCGTCCGGAAATCCGACGGAAAACGACGGATATTCATCGTTTTCCGAAACCCATTCATTAGTGCAAAATTACACAAAAATAAGCTAACATTAGACGACATATGTGCAGAGTGTTTTTTTTGTTGTTGTTCGCTTTTCGGTACAATATAATAACTCTGATTTGTTCGCGTCGACAATAGCCACTCACTCGTTATTGCGACTATTTCGTTGAGCAAACAGTGTGTAGTATGCTCATGTACAAATACGTACTAAATAAAAACACGTGACCGGAAATAGTTAATGTATTTTTGTTGATTGCGGTTAGCACATATTCATTCTTTCGGTGGGTAAAAATAATAAACACTTGACGTATCCTGTATTCTATGGTGATACGGTGCTCCCGTCTCTCGCAGCACTAGCATTCTCTCATTAAACTTGTTTAATGTTTCCACTTTCGTGACATGTTCCCGCAATAACCAAAGTGGCCATTTACAACCCTCCAATATATTACTTGCTTTATTCCGACAATTTTTTTTTATTTTCGCTGCTGCTACCACCGCTTGCAGTGGTCATTTTTATTTTTATTCATCATTATTTGATTGTCAGTCATTAGAAGCGAGGAATATTGCATTGAACCGCTTTGATAGCGAGTATATTGAAATTGAGTTCGATGTATGTTCTCGACTCAGACCGATTTAAACTATCAGTACATCATAGTTTCAGCGAAATTATATTTCTGACTAAAAAAACGTATGTAGAAAATAAAGATCAAGTAAAATTTAATTGCTTCAAGTGAAGTTCATCGTTAAAAAAAAGTTTTTGCCATGGACTCCGTATGACTTCCCTTCTGACAATTTTCTGTACCCATTATGCATTTTCCACTTTCATTTTGAAAATCATTATTCGGCAGGAATCAAATTATATCATTTTCTAATTATATGCTAGCGTCCACATGCCAGACATTCACATTTACTTGTCTCAAAGAACCCAATTTCTAATGAGAGTCTTCATTAGTAGGCAGTATTAAAGTTGGCACGGCATTGGAAAATGGATTCGATTGAAAATCAAACTGAAATGTGCATATACGCTCCGTTTATTTTTTAAATACAAACAATAAAGGAAAATGAGTAGACGTTTAAATTCGATTTATAATACAAAAGATCGTCAATGCTCTATTTAACTCCTTTTTTCAATCTGTATGCACGCATACGAGAATATTCGACCAATGATTTTATCGTCTTGTTTTTATTAATTGTCTGCGTTGTGTTCTGTAATTAAAATTTTTCTTTATATGTAAATAAAAGAAGTCGATTCAAACATGCATGCTTTGTGATCCGAAATGTGTATGTGATTGCATGTCGCTTCTTCAAACAAAATAATATAATGCTAAAAAAAAGTCACAGCAAAGCCAACCAAACGGCACACAGTACACACGTGAAACTCAATCGAAGTGAAATTATCGATTTCAAACTGATATTTATTGAGCCTAATACACATAGACGATTTATGGATCCATTTGTTTGTTCAGTGGGGAGATGAAAAGTGCGCACAGCATTGAATACCACTTTGGTCCACTTCAAGTGAAAATAAATCTAGATTGAATGAAAATATACGGCTAATTGATTTATTGCACTGCGTAAAGTCGTCGTATGTCGTGTGGATAGTCAAATCATGCTGACGGAAAAATAACATAAGAATGGCATAATATTTCGCTAATTGATTTAGATAAATGCGTTTTATCGGCAGGAAAATTGCTATCGATGTACAGACGACTGGACAAAGACCCAACGTAGAAAATGCATCTGGACGACTTGGCTCTAAATCAATGTGAACCACAATAGATGGTTATTGTTTTATATTTGTTTGGATGATAAAAGGTATTTGGATGGATTTGTTTTTTTTTAGTATTTACTCACATTTCGTGATGACCATGTGTTGCACATGATCGATGCATCTTCTAAAAGACGATTCTGAAAAATATCACAGAAAGAGAGGAAAAATTTGTGGTTATGGTGATATAGTGAGAGTGAGACACGAAAATTATGGTTTTTTTTATATAAAAAAGGAAAATGTTCATTCAAAATCAAGGAAAAAAATTATTCATGTTGTTCATTTAATTAAAACATCGTTTGTATATGAAAAAGAAAGAGAGAAAAAGAAAGTATAAGTGAATGCATTAAATATCTGAATAAACACAAAATTAAAGACTGGCTCTTCTGTGTCGTTTTTTCGGAATGAAATCGAATTTTGATGTCGTTGAAATTATGAATTTGTAATGGATACAAAGTCAATGCGATTCTATTCGAAATGTGGTAATTTATTATCCATTATTACTTAATCGGAAGACCGAGAAAAAGAGAAATGAACGCAGTAGAAATAAATGCAAAATAAACACACCGCCAAAATGCAAACAATGAAAACCGAAAAAAAATCGAGAACTCTTTCGGTGACTTTGGGCCAGATAAGTTTATTTAATCGTCATTGTCGTCGCAGTCGTTTGCCGGCCTCGAAACAATGGTGGCAAGAAGGTGTTTCTAGTAACGAATATGCTCGTTAGCATTTTACCATAATCTTGTTTAAATGTTCAATTAAGGCATATTTAATGTTATTGAAAGATCGATTTACCGTTTGTCGACACGAAACGCAAAACTGCACAATCGGCCGCTTCGACCACTGTCCCCTTTCCCGCAAACAAAATTCACAACACATATCGAAAGAAAAAAACAACAACACTATCGTTCGTTAACTATAAACAGAGAATAAACAATAGTCGTTGGCACACAACAAACCATTTGATTAGCTTTCATCAATTGTTCGGGGTCTTTTTTTCGATGCAGCAAATGACACAACAAATTAATTGAAAGAGAACGAACCAAAAAAAACGGACCAGAAAGTAATGAAAGCTCGAAAAAATGATGCGAATATATAAACGCGACACTGGCACAATGTGCTCAGTAAATTGAAATATATGTCTATGGCGACATATTTAGCCGGTCAAATAATCAATTATACAACTGTTTAACACAATTTATTAAATATTTGATGAAGTATTTACGTTTCGGTCATATTTACGGTAGGTTTTTTTTAATTCATTTCGTATCCATCGCCATACACTTCTAGTCAACATTGTGCCATGAATGGATCGCGACAAATACACAGGTGGGTTGATTTTTTAATATACGTGTTTGGTTTAATTTCAGTTTCATTTTATTTACTTTCGGGTCATTTTTTTCGACTGGCCATTTCTACGGAATTGAAAATGTTGAATGAATGAATAGTTTTTGCATTGATATGCACTCACTGCCATTTAATCGAGAAAAAAAGTATTTCTATGTTCCTAAATAAATCCATTTGTTTACTCTCTTCTCCTATTGTGACTATGCTCTCGTTCTAGTCTCGTCATAACTTCAATTATCTCTTTAGATGTGCAATTTCAACTATCTCTTCATACATTCACATTTATGACAGATTTTTGTAAGGAAACGTATTGTTACGTTAAGTTAAGGAAAATCTATAATCCGCAATGCATTCGAAAGAACATGCATGTAAAAAAAATTATAGACGCTAATGACGACGAAAATGATATAAGGACAAACCGTAACAGACACATACATCAGAGAATCTCAGTAGCGGTACGAAAAAGAGTAGCAAGGAGAAAATACACAGAGAAAACATACAAAAACGGTTAGAAATGGCGACACATCGATCGATATCCGTGTTGCTTTATGATTGGTTGTTGGGCGGAGAAGCCGAAACACCAACATAAGAGAGCTCATTCACTCTCAAACGCTCTCGCCCGCTTATATTCATTCCATATATCCCTCAATTCTGTGCGCGCACGATGAGCAGCAGTCTCTGATACACACAATTGCTCTCTCTCCCCATACCGTACGGATACACTATATGCACGAAATATATCGACATTCAGTACACAAATTTATACATGAAATGTTCGTATTTTATGTATTGCAAGCGGGGGCCATATATACTCCACAAAACGAACGGGTATAGTAACATCAGCAGCAGCAGCAGCAGCAACAACAACAACAATAATAACAGCGATAGAAACATAAGGAGAAGAAGGATCGAGAGCCAAAGCGCAGCCAAATGGTTATTATGTGTGTGCTATTTCGTCTTTTTAACATTCGTTACTGTTCTTCTGTCTTTGTGTGTATGTCTTCTTCTTGGTCTTATTTTTGTGCTCGATCCTATAGTGCGCCGCGCTTATTTATTCTGCGTGCGTTCGACAGACCACATTTAATGACTATCGTATCCATTTTAAATTTTATCGATTCGATGGTTCTTGTACACACACAGAATTCTTCTTTGGTAGAGTGCATAAAAATGATTGCATACATACCGTAGCCAGTAAGAGAGCGAGCGCGCATTTTTTGTGTAAGAGAAATTAAAGCGGTGTTTTTTTATTGCATTTTCTGCTTTTACTTTGATGTTATTCTTGATATCGTGTACACTATTGTGGTGCAACTTGGTGAAACAAAAACGAAATGGTGAAAAAACGACTTTTTTTTTAAAATAATAGTCGAAATCCACAATTGCATTTAAAGACATAAATTGTTTCACTGGCCCTCTCTTCTTCTGATTCGTAGGTCGATACAGTGGAAATTGGCACGAAACAAACACATACATTCACATGCATGAAATGTCATGGCAGACATATATCGACTTGCAAATTGAATTTAGTGAACGCACGTTATGCAACATGCAAAGTGATTACTGCGGAGAAATTTTAACAATGCAACTTGAACAATATCCATATGCAATGTATCTGGCACCGATTGCATGCAATCGACGGCATCAGTAACATTTCCAAACCGATATGGACCGAAAATGGATTTATTTTATTGTTTGTGTGCGCGCATAACCATGGCTGCTTGCGAAAATTTACCCGAAACACGGAAATTATTTATTGTATTGGCGGTGACTTTAATTTTAAATGATGTGTTTTCCATCTGTTTACATTGTTTCAGCATTTTCGTTTGTTCTCTCTCTCTCTCTCTCTGTGTGTGTCACTCTTTCTCTCAGTCACTTCGTCTCGTGGATGAAGGCAATTTCAGATACAATTACAAATGTCGATATATTTCACTAGACAAATAAATGTTCGTTTTAATGTCGTTTCGGTTGCATTTATTACATTTAGCAATCAATTGGCGGCAAAGCCAGTATATTGCCAATATTCGGAGGTTTTGCATAATCAAATCGCTTTTAGATGACATTTAATTACATCAAATTATTTATTGCCGTTTCGATTTTCTGAGGTGTACTTCTAATGCAATGAATCGATTGAAGGCGAAAATTCCGTTTAAAAACGTCATTCGAAAGGAAAATTGTTCAAAATCAAATAATACATTAAATTCATGTTCAAAATTTCGTTGCGAACATGTATTGTACATTAACGGACTTACAAAAGAAAATACGAAATGTAAACAAAGTGATTTTATCCCTTTGACACATTTCCTCTGCTATAAACTTGTTTAAAATTCATATATCCACTTGAAAGTTCGGTTTTAAATGCAACATTTTGAAATTAAACGAGTTGTTTCGAAGCCACTTGAATTTTTATTTTTGAAAGTAAATCTTGGAAATGAAAAAAGGGTCGATGAATGGAAACAACATGTCGGCAATCACAATTCTTTTTTTCAAGTAGCCCCATTCCCATTGTATGTGCGTTAAAGCATGCACACTATATTTATTTAGTCATTATGTATCGCTGAAGACGGTCGAAAAAAAGTCAATATCGAACATAGGACTATTTCAATTAACACATTTTTGAATTGTGTTTTGAAGTGAGCGTGAAATAAAAAGATATGGAAAGAGTAATTAACGGTCAACCCGAAAAAAATATCCATTTATGTATTATGGAATTTGAACGAATAACTTCTCTATTGTCACTATAAAAAAGAAAGCGAACGCAAACACGTGCGCGATAAGAAAAGGTTTGGCCGAAAATGTTTCATAAATTTTGAATTATGTTTAATCAAAAGAATATCATTTTTGCCACCAACAAATTTCGTTTCGGTTGATTCGATCACCATGCGATATTTATGTGATTTAATATCATCTAGTGAATGTGGATGATTTTTTTATGACATTTATCGTGTTTACATGATTAAAACGAGCCCTTGATCAGTTTGTTCTTTTTTTCCCTTTTTTTATTGCTGGCATATATTGTGGACTTACGTAAACCGACAACAAAACGCAATCCGAACTGCCACAACACACGGGCCCGTGACTAGTGAAAATGCGGAAGTTACTTGTAAATCAAATCAAAATGTTTAAAAATAGATAGCACACCAAGTGAATGATTTAAATCGTATGTTTTGGATCACGCAATTTCTTATATGCAACCACCACACCGACCTGATGGTGATGATGGAAAACGCAAATAGAATGAACTATCATGAAGTTAAATAAGTTTGGATTTAAAATAAACATCACATACTGTTACGAGTAGAGTAAAGCAAAAAAGACAAAAAATTGTGAACGATGGCAAAAAAGTCAGTCATTTTGTCAACATATCAGCAAATACAGAAACATCGTGCAACTTGGATGAAAATTCAATTTCTTGCAAAGTGTTTATTTATAAATTTATTATTACATTCAGGTTGCACATCTTTCGGACTGTCCATTTTTATGGTTGACGCCGTTTTATTTCTCTTCATATACTTATGCCATCATTTTTGCTCTTGTTTATCGGCCGGATTTGTTCGTTTCACTTGCAAAATGTGTTGACTTTTTCCATTATTTTAGTCGATTTCAATGGAATCACTGTTTTCAGTTTCAAAATGTGGATAGAAAAAAGTACCCACATATCGCATGTTTGAACGTACACCGAAAAAAATACAACCACCAACTGAACTGTCGTCTTTTTCTGTGTATCTATTTTACATAGAGAAAGATAGAGAGTGGTGTAAGGAGACGGAGCGGCAGAAAGAAAAAGAGAGATAGAGAG